AGTTATTATAAGAGTTATTATAGGAGACTATTTCATTCTATTATCATTGTTTTTAACCTATTTACGATTTCGTATCATCACAATGTAAACATAAACGTCAACTGATCTTAACTTGCATCAACTACATTGTCATCACATTGTCATCATATAAAGTTTTCCCGCCTTTCAAACCAAAATCAGACATAAATAATTCGCCCAAAATTTAAAATTCCATATATTGTGACAGAATTAACCTCATTTCCCAATAACCAAGTGCCTGCATTAGATAACTATTCGAAACAACAATTTTACGGCTATGATTGGTAGATCAACCATCAAATAATGAGTTAAAAGGGTTTTGAGGACACCTCACCAGTAAACGACCGGGGGTAGGATTTGGCCGGGGCCGGGAATGTCCAAATTTTGCCGGGGCTGGGAATTGGCCGTTCTGGAATTTGGCCGGGGCCGTGAATTTAATAAATCCACGGCCAAGTTAGAACTTTTCAGTTGAAAGTTGGCACTCTGGACATCATCCTTTCAAAATTGAAAATCCATTTTAAGATTTATATGAAAGTTTTAGGCCGATTTCGATCAAAAATTCCCGGCCAAATTCCCGGCAAAAATTGAAAAAAAAACCACTTTTCAAGTGCCGGTTAGTAGCCGGTTGGTAATGTGAAGTTGAGGAGCTGTTATTACAAAAGTGGCTACTAGCCGGCTAGTAGCCGGTGTTCATATGGTACTGTGCAGGGACGTTGCATAGACGTTGCATAGACGTTGCATAGACGTTGCATAGACTGACCGTGCAGGGAGTGTGCATAGAGTGTTCATTGTGCAGGGACGTTGCATAGACGTTGCATAGACGGTTCTTCTGTTGTTGCATGGACGTTGCATAGACGTTGCATAGACTGTCCGGAGCTAAACGACCAAGTTGCCGAAAATTGGCCGGGGCCGGGGCCGGGAAGAAATAGCTCCCCCGGTGCCGGGATTTCACGGCGCCGGGAATCCCGGTCGATTACTGCACCTCACAGTAGAATAGAGGTATGGTATTCTGAGTGTGACAAAGTTACCCAAATATTGCCTTGTAACCGTTCGATCTGTGCCCTTTAACCAATGTTGTATTATAATTATTAGATTGACCTAATCTACTATATTTCAGACCAAGGAATGATAATTAGACAACTGCAGTTAACTAAGTCACACAAAATGTGACATTTCAAATATTATAGTGCTTAATATCAGGACAATTCAATAAAGACACATACTCTACCCACGATAAGGGGCCATAATTGTTTCAATTATGTACATAATTGTTTTCTATATTATAGTGCTTAACAACAATAGATTTTCTTTCTGAGCAGTGCACATGGAAGTATGGGTTACGTGGCTAATGTTCAGAACTTCTGAACGTGCTAGGTTAATAGATGTCAAAATTAAGCCACTATTGTCGAAAACGCTATTATTTTTGTTTACCAATATCCTCAAACTCAAATGAACGTGTCCACATAGATTCCAGAAGTTTTTATGATTGCATCATTTTAATACAATTTATTATGAGCTTTTGAAAACAGCCCGACGCTGAGCCCAGATTTCAGCAAAATAACGCTGGTTTTTTGTAACACTTTTTTATTCAATACAAGGATGACTATAGTGCAAAGAAACTGCTGCTAACTGCTGCTCACTGCTGCTCACTGCTGCTCACTGCTGCTCACTGCTGCTCACTGCTGCTCACTGCTGCTCACTGCTGCTCACTGCTGCTCACTGCTGCTCACTGCTGCTCACTGCTGCTCACTGCTGCTTTGTCATACGTTGTATGACCCGCCACGCACGAGTGCGCGGCTCCCCCTGTATCGTCGAAACTCTACACTATAGTGAAGCGACAGTGAGGGTCACCACGTGATACAACTGCTGCTCACTGCCGCTTACTGGACGGACCGGCGGGGGCGCGGCACTCACAACTCAGATTGTCATTCCGCCCGTGCAGCTTTAATAGTTTAAATTTTTAACCAGCCTTTGGTCCCCAGATCACATGACATGGTATTCCTTAATTTCCTTACTGGGCGGCGCTCAGCCTGTCATTCCGCCGAATCTTTATTCGGGCTGAGTGAATTACGACCTCCATTGCCCTGAAAAAAGTGCAAATGCTCATTGGATGTTAGAGCGCACATGACTCGCATCCACGTGATCGTTCAGAACCACCCAGGAAACCTTACTGTTAGGGGCCTAACTTTGGAAGTAAAAGAGATAGAAACGTCTGGTTTTCAACAAAATGTTCGCCTTGTAAAAATAACGTTTCCTCCCCAGGAGGAAAATTCAAAACGCTGTAGATTTTGAATTATTGCGAAAAGTCATATTTTAGGCCTTATAAAACTGCGCAGCTTTAACTTTGCAGATTGTTGTTCTCTGATTGGCTGAATCGTATCACGTGGTACGCGGTACAATTGCATTCTTGGAACATTTGAAGCGTGCAAATGCAATGAACTAGCGAGCGCGCGCGGAGTTCAACGAGCTGTGAAAAGGCGATCACCCTGTAGTAATATTGCTAGCCGGTAAGGTCTGCTGGGCAATTTATTACAGCCCCGCAAAAGATCACGTGCACGCCAACTACCAATAAGAAAGAAGTGACGTATGCACTACAAGAGCCGCGCGCTGAGTTAGATTGTAAAATTTGAATATTTAAACGCGCCTATTTGCGCGTTTTAGAGGGTTCAATTACGCCATGGGCTATGTTTATGAACATAAAAGCCTGGGGTCCCCAGGTAATAATTTCCATAACACATAATTGATTTGAATTTGAAAAGATCTCATTACCCAAATTTACCTCCCCGGACTTCAGGCTAGCCGGCTACCATGTTCATAATTAGAGATTAGGCGGCCGCGGAATGACAGGCTAAGCACGGCCCAGTAATACCCAAATAAATTAATTCTCCAGGCCATTTCCGTTCATGATTTTTGATTTTCTTTCATAAGACTAGGGGGGTGCACGATAAAAAATAAACTTGCTCGGATTTTCAAAATTTGTGTACCATAATTGTAATTTCTAAAAACTGTTTACTGGGCCGCGCTCAGCCTGTCATTCCGTCTAATCTTTATGTTTATGAACATGTTTATGAACATGATAGCCTGAGGTCCCCAGGTAAAAAACTGTGAGAATTTTCACAGTACCAAATTTGGCATACCTTTTTGGTTTAATTGACGATGTCAATTCATGGCAGCTCGGCGCGGCACAGTAGCGCATCTCGCCGATCTAGCCAGTGAGAAGCCTTATTGAGTGCGCGGCGCGGCACAGTAACGCATCGCGCTACAACTTTTTGGTATGATCAGTGAGTTTCGCCTAGGTGCCACATTTGATGGTGCGCGGCTTTAGCCAGCAAAATTAGGTGTAAAAGTCGCGTAATTTGACGAAATTCGTTGATTTTTGTCGTATTATTTTGTCATATCTTTGGTTCTTTATCATGAATCATGCTGAAAATTTGTCAGAACCTTCCAATCATACTTACCTACCGAACTTAGAAATTAGTTGGGAGAGATTGGCCTTGATTAAATTAAGAGGTCTAAAAATGACAAAATAGGTATAAATTCGTTGATAACTCAAATTCTGACCATCAAAATTGCTCAAACTAATTTAGGTTCAGTAGAACTAGGGGGTGCACCATAAAAATAAACTTGCTCGGATTTTAAAAATTTTTGTACCATTGTTTTCTAGAGACTGTGAGAATTTTCACAATACCAAATCTGTCATACCTTTTTAGAAAGATTAGTGAGTTTCGCCTAGGTGCCATATTTGATGGTGCGCGGCTTTTGGAGCAAAATTAGCTTTAAAAGTCGCGTAATTTGACCAAATTTGACCAAATTCGTTGATTTTTGTCGTATTATTTGGATATATCTTCAGTTCCTTGAATGAGATCATTCTGAAAATTGGCGACGACCTTCCATTAGGGCTTTCACAACTGTCCGAAAAATTTGGTGGATATCGGAGTTGATATAATGATCAAAATGGGGCAAAATACGCTGCTTTTAGCTGTAACATAATGTCTGATGGTTGGATATGCTTTAAACTTTTCGGACACCTTCCTTGTAAGTCTATGAGTAAGCTTACTAATTTTTGTTGCAATCGGAGGTCGGGAAGGATACTTAATATCTATTTGTTTGAAGAAAATTGTGCTGGCCGAAATTAGCGCTAAAAAACAATCCTACAGTCGGCACGCGCGGCTCACTGTCGATGGCGCACTACCTAGTAGAACATAAGTGTTTACGTAAGTTGACCAATTTTCAACAAAATTGTTATATGGGAAGTATTATAACTTTTTGATAGTTTCTAAAATAATGTGCTGGCCGAAATTGGAAATACGAGCTAAAAAACCATTCAATGGTCAGCGCGCGTTTTACGGTCGATGGCGCACGGCCTAATAAGACTAAAAGTAAAAATATCATCCACGATACAATCACTGAGATCTGATTAATCAATTTTGTATTATAATTAGCAGAATTAGCTAAAACTTTGTAGCGCGATGCACTACTGGGTCGCGCGCGCATCAAATAATGCTTCTCGCAACCTTCGGTAGATCGGCGAGATGCACCACTGTGCCTCACCGAGCTGCGAAGGATTGACATCGTGAATCAAGCTAAAACTAAATAGGACAAAAACGGAAAAAAGTTACATCATTTTAAATTACTTTTACCGCACCCCAAACGTAAACTTAAAATGACACCGAAATAATGAAATCGGTCTCTTGATCGCTTTTAAGTTTTCCTATCCATTCACGGCTTGAAAATTGTAACGATCTGGCCGCGCCCGTAACTGTAAGTGCCGTTACTGTAACGAATCGTTAGTGCCGACTATTAATATTATACTGCCGAATGCTATATAATATAGCCTCCTATCATCAATTGTGAGTGAATGGGAAAAGCGAGCAATCGATTTCATGCATTATTGATTATATCAATATCATTTTGCGTTTGGGTACGGTAATGGCGATTAAATTGATATCATTTCCTTCTGTTTGGAAAAAGGATACACTGGCGACGGTCAACTCTACCCAATTTCGGGTTTTGGTTTAAAACATAACACAAATTATTTATAGTTGTACGTATAACTATCGATTCCGCAAGGGATCGTTAACATATTACGTAGAGAGAAGGGGGGGGGGGGGGATGTGTCTCTAAAATGGTCGAAAATTGGCTTACGTAATATGTTAACGATTCAACTAATCCGTAGTTGAAAAAAATTCATATCTGGTAAAAAATATGCATAATGCAGTTATTATCTATAATCAGTAGGGTTGACTTTTAGTTTTAACGTTAACACAAAATCAATAGTACATTATGCGAGCATGAAGTTCCAATTTATTTAACAATTGTTTGTAAGGGTCATCACAATCTCCAAATCTTTTACCTTTCGCTGGGTATAACAAGAGAGAACACTTAACCCGTGCCCTAGACATAGCTAGATAGATCTTGGCCAAACTCATATCAAAAGGCTCTCTGGGCCGCATTTCATGTAATGCAATTACTGCAGGCCATTCTGCAGAATAACAATCGCCATAGTACCTTTTCTCATATTTCCTAAAATTAGTCGATTTCAACACATCAGTACTGTTGAATAAATCATGAATAACTGCAACATAAGAGCAGTCTAAATCTTCATTTGCACGAAGACAAGACAATTCTCTTTCAAAAATTTCACGAATTAATTCATCATCATATTTCTCAAGCACATGCACTACTGTCATGGGGCCATGAATATAGTGCCCTATTCTCATCATGGGTGCGAAAATGGGTGAGATGTCATCAAATTCCCTTCTAATAACCGATAAGACGTTGGAAATTTCAAACGTATTTCGTGATGTATGTTTTAATGTCACCAGATGCTCTGAAGATATTTTTTCTGCAAATAAGGAAACTATGTCTTTTAGACAATAATTATATCCCTGTACTAAATCTAATGCCACTAAAACGGTATTATCAGCTGATAACACGTTGAGCTTGTCTAATAATTTATTAATACCATCTCTGCTATTGTTTAACACTCGTTGAATATCATCAACAATCACGTTACAGTTGTTTAGTAAACTGAGTATGTTAGTGAACACTTCAATATAAACACCACTCATCTCTACTATCACTACATTCTTATTACTGTTTGTGATAAGTTCGGCCATGTGCAAGGGAGTAGCATTACAGTCTGTCGAAAAAACTTCATATTTCATTCCTGCTCTACCACATGCACTCTGATATATGTTACTACTGTTAGGTCCAGTTAATGCAGCGATTTTTTCTCTGGATCTGTCTTGGCGAGTCGGAGCATCTTCCCTGCTAGTAGCATCGTTTTCCCACTCCCAGCAGGACCGTTTATCAATAGAAGATTTTCCGTTGAACCAAAAATGTCGTTCTGCTCATGTGTAAGATATTTGACCCCCAAATATTTACTTATGTCTGTAGGAGCTTTAACCAAATCGGGATTAATGCTCTGTTTAACTTTAGGCTTTAACTTCATTTTGTGATTCTGCTCCAAAGTGATTGCTCCCTCCATTAATTCTTTGTCTATTTTCATCACATTCTCTACTAAACTCTTAAACTGAATCTTGTTTCGTCAGGTACGTTCAACTCGGGACACGATATTGCTAACAATATATGCTTCACTCTTTCGTGCTCAGAGTTGTGATGTGAAGGATATTGTGAAGAATATTTTGTGGCACATTATGCTGCCACCATTTAGCAAAATCATCAAGATCTTCACTGAAAATAATTGATTCTCTCTGTACTTCAGTAACTTTAGTTAAGGAGGACATGCTAGGAAAAGCGGTGAAGAGAAGAACAGATGCCTGGGGATAAATGGATTGTATGAGTTTTCTGACCTTATCTCCTTGAATTAAAGAATTTTTAAACGCATCGACCATATTTCCGTCTATTGTCGTGTTCTTTACCTCTACCACAACAAAATGTTCATCAGTGATAATCAAAAAATCGCACTCTGTCCAAACATTAGCAGGTGTTTTCTTGATATCAAAGTCCAGGTTACATTTAAACTTGTTCAAAACGATCATATACTTCTTCAATCTCTCCAAAGAACGGTACACCCTAATCGCAGCCTCGATATTATCTCGTTTTCGAATATTGTCTCCAATACGAGGATCTTCATATTCTTTATGTGAATAATTGTCGACGTATATGTTTTGGGGTACAGGAAGGGACATAACGCGGGGATATTCCTCATCTATTGAGCAAAAACGATTTGTTGCGATTTGTTTTCCCCTCTCTTCATAGTCCTTTAGGGTCGTCACAGTTTCTGTAATAATACTAAAGTTAATATCGATAAAAAACAAAACATAAAAAACTGAGGATTTGAGCCCCACATTTTTAAGCTGTGACATTTCTAGTCCATTCGAACAAACCTAACATGCATTGGTAACATCATTTATCCACTTATATGTGCACTCAGGGCCTGATGTAATTTCTATGACCAGTTGGTCACATGCAGTGTTTCGGTGTCCCAAATTTTGCTTACACTTGGTCACTTGTCTAGACATTTTTTGGTCTTTTGACGAATTTTATTTGTGATACAATGATGTAAATTTGTGTAAAATTTTGTAAAAGCTAACACTGAAATGCAGGACCGGGGTAGTTTGATAAAAAAGGTTTCCATAAAGCTAGAAATCACTGATGCTTTAAGCATGGACTATTTCATGCACAAAAACCCATTTGATGAAGATGATATGACGTGATATAAGACACTGATCATATACACATATTTTAACATTTTTACTGCTTAACGACTGTTTTTTTACTTACTGTATAAAAAATGGATTTAAAAATCATTTGCTGAAATAAAAAATGTCCGTTCATTTAATTTCCGTCCAAATAAGGTCCGATAACTGTGAGGTATTGCCCAACGTTGCACTTGCAGGGTATGCCACGCACAAGTGTACGACTACAACTTGTAACTTGCTGCAGCACCAAGCGTGCTAAATCACTCTTCAGTCGATCTTCGAAATTGTTCTAAAAGGGACCGCGGCAGTTGAAACCAACTTGAATCGATGTATTTTTGGACGCTGATTCAGAATCACCCCCATGACTTACCTGGGGACCTCAGGCTATTTATATGTTCATAAACATAGAGATTCGGCGGAATGACAGGCTGAGCGCCGCCCAGTAACCCCATGACATAGGGTTAAAATGCTCCCCTGGCGAGATATTGGCGAAAAACTGTCTTGATCACGTGATATGACTGTATAAGGAAGTTGGTCGAATTTCTCGTTAGGGTTAGGGTTTCAGCTTACCTGAGGACCCCAGGCTATTATGTTCATTAACATAATAGATTTGGCGAATATAGATTTGGCGGAATGACAGGCTGAGCGCGGCCCAGTAAGGTTTCAGCATATGCTTTTGTTAGGGATTGGGTTAGGATTGGGATCAGATAAGAGGGTTAGGGTTTCGAATACCTTATCGGACCTTATATTATTTGGACGGACATTACTTGAACGCTGGAAGCCCTAGCGTTCATCTTAATGTCCGTTCAAATAAAGTCCGTTCAATTAATGTCCGTCCAAGTTAAAGTCCGTTGAAATTTTTTCAAAAATTTTTCCATTTCGAACTTTTTATCCAGGATATGACAACTATGAGAACTTTATTGTGCCGTAAGTTAACGACGGAAAGGTTGACATACGTTGCATGCCACATTTCGCGCGCGAAGCGCGCGCCGCCGAAGGCGGAAATAGTATACACATAATATCTCTGATATTTGTGATACGTAACATGTATCAACGGAAAGGTTCTCCTTGGTCTGCCGGAGGCACAGAAAACTCTACTAGTATATGATGTTTTCAAGGGTCACTTGGCGGAAAAAGTCAACGAAATCATGGCACTCAACAACATAGTTCATGAGCTAGTCCCCGCCAACATGACAAACATGTTCCAGCCTCTAGATATTACGGTAAATCGTGTTGCCAAGGACATTGTCCGACGTTTTTATAGTTCATATTACTGAGGGGAGGTAATGAAACAGTGCTAGGAAAGCTCCACGTGATGTTAAGGTTAACCTAAAGTTGTCTAAGGTAAAACCACTTCACGCCGAATGGCTTGTAAAAGTTAACACTGAAATGCAGGATCGGGGTAGTTTGATAAAAAAGGTTTCCACAAAGCTAGAAATCACTGATGCTTGTTTAAGCATGGACTATTTCATGCACAAAAACCCATTTGATGAAGATGATATGACGTGATATAAGACACTGATCATATACACATATTTTAACATTTTTACTGCTTAACGACTGTTTTTTTACTTACTGTATAAAAAATGGATTTAAAAATCATTTGCTGAAATAAAAAATGTCCGTTCATTTAATTTCCGTCCAAATAAGGTCCGATAACTGTGAGGTATTGCCCAACGTTGCACTTGCAGGGTATGCCACGCACAAGTGTACGACTACAACTTGTAACTTGCTGCAGCACCAAGCGTGCTAAATCACTCTTCAGTCGATCTTCGAAATTGTTCTAAAAGGGACCCCGGCAGTTGAAACCAACTTGAATCGATGTATTTTTGGACGCTGATTCAGAATCACCCCCATGACTTACCTGGGGACCTCAGGCTATTTATATGTTCATAAACATAGAGATTCGGCGGAATGACAGGCTGAGCGCCGCCCAGTAACCCCATGACATAGGGTTAAAATGCTCCCCTGGCGAGATATTGGCGAAAAACTGTCTTGATCACGTGATATGACTGTATAAGGAAGTTGGTCGAATTTCTCGTTAGGGTTAGGGTTTCAGCTTACCTGAGGACCCCAGGCTATTATGTTCATTAACATAATAGATTTGGCGAATATAGATTTGGCGGAATGACAGGCTGAGCGCGGCCCAGTAAGGTTTCAGCATATGCTTTTGTTAGGGATTGGGTTAGGATTGGGATCAGATAAGAGGGTTAGGGTTTCGAATACCTTATCGGACCTTATATTATTTGGACGGACATTACTTGAACGCTGGAAGCCCTAGCGTTCATCTTAATGTCCGTTCAAATAAAGTCCGTTCAATTAATGTCCGTCCAAGTTAAAGTCCGTTGAAATTTTTTCAAAAATTTTTCCATTTCGAACTTTTTATCCAGGATATGACAACTATGAGAACTTTATTGTGCCGTAAGTTAACGACGGAAAGGTTGACATACGTTGCATGCCACATTTCGCGCGCGAAGCGCGCGCCGCCGAAGGCGGAAATAGTATACACATAATATCTCTGATATTTGTGATACGTAACATGTATCAACGGAAAGGTTCTCCTTGGTCTGCCGGAGGCACAGAAAACTCTACTAGTATATGATGTTTTCAAGGGTCACTTGGCGGAAAAAGTCAACGAAATCATGGCACTCAACAACATAGTTCATGAGCTAGTCCCCGCCAACATGACAAACATGTTCCAGCCTCTAGATATTACGGTAAATCGTGTTGCCAAGGACATTGTCCGACGTTTTTATAGTTCATATTACTGAGGGGAGGTAATGAAACAGTGCTAGGAAAGCTCCACGTGATGTTAAGGTTAACCTAAAGTTGTCTAAGGTAAAACCACTTCACGCCGAATGGCTTGTAAAAGTTAACACTGAAATGCAGGATCGGGGTAGTTTGATAAAAAAGGTTTCCACAAAGCTAGAAATCACTGATGCTTGTTTAAGCATGGACTATTTCATGCACGAAAACCCACTTAATGAAGATGATATGTGATATTAGACACTGATCATGTACGCATATTTTAACATTTTTACTGCTTAATGACTGCTATTCTTACTTACTGTATAAAAAATGGATTAACAAATCATTTGCTGAAATTAAAAAAACGTCAAAAATTGAAAAAAATTCGGATTTTTGATGGTTTTGAATGCCTTCGAGCGTTCATATTAATGTCCGTTCACAATTATTATTATGTCCGTTCATGTAATGTCCGTCCAAATAAGGTCCGATAAGGTAGTCGTTCAGGGCCAGTTAGAGAATCAGAACGGGTTGAAAAAGTCACGCGACAGTCGAGTGTAGAGTGATTAATCATCATCCCTGCAGCACATCTTGTGATGCGACACAAAAATGAAAAAAACAATAGAAAATCTCACCGTTCGTCAGCGGGTCGCCCAGAGTTACTTTCCACAATTCCCTTACAAAGTGAAGGCAGTTGTTGTCTAGCACATCGTATTTTTTACCGGAGCAAAAAGTGCTATAAATGCAGTCATTGAGTTCCCTAAGCTTCATCGGTTTACCCATCTTATTCCACTCTTCTTCTATTAATTTCCCACTGACTAATTCTTTATCTTTGTATACAAACTGTTTAATTCCTTTCTCCTCATTTGTCAGTTTGAACTTTTGACTGACCCAAACGTCTAAGTCAGGGGATGGTACAATGCTCAATGCTGCCATCTTCTTATCATCGGTGAATAAAGCTAGGAAAGGTTTGGATTCTTTATATCCCTCTGTCCCTTCGTTATCGATAGATTTTTCTTCGTTAGAGATAAAGTCATCGTACTCAAACTGGGCTATGAAGTATGAGTGCTTTTCTTCACCAGTGAATTTTGCAGTTCCACGTGCGATGAACGCCAAATGTTCAGTATTGAGATATCTTTTACGAAATAGAAAGCTACAAATTCTATGAAATAATGTGGAAGACCTCTTCGGTAAAAGCATTTCCTTTCTTGTCCAAATCGCCATGTGAGTAAAGTTATAAAAGTCTCCCATGTGCTCCATGAAATCGATGAACTGCGAATCTACGTAGTAGAGCCTACTTCTCTCCTTCTCCGAGTTGTTGTTTATCCATCTCAGGAAGCGTGAATGAGCATAAAATCCCACCATACTTATCATCACTCCTCCAATTTCCTGTACAATTCGATCCATTTCCATTTCCCATGCTGTAAAGGATTAATGTCAAGTAATTAATATGATATGGATAGATAGGTCAATTTAAGAAAACCGAAGCAAAGCTAATTGAATTATACTTAGATTTCCCTATCAGTCGAAAGAGGCTTTAAAAATTAATGAAGAAAACAGCTTATATGAAATTTCTATCAATATCTTTACACCAAAAACACAAATTTCACCAATCATAAAGAAAATGTCGAATCCATTGAAACGCTATAAGTATAAGTATAATACTTAGATATCAAACACACAAATTGAATTAAGTACATGTTTCTTTATATGGTTATATTGTATACAAATCCCTTTGATCCAATGGGTATTTTTTTGTGAAACTTGATTTCGAGATAGCAGTTGACCAACAAACTAAGACCAGTGACCGAACTTTTGAGGGGGTCCCGGACCCCAACCGCCAAACGGTGCCCGCAGGCAGCCACGCCCATATTTGGTCCAAATTAGGCCCAATTTAGCCAAATACCCTGAACATGCCCAAAACCCAGGTTTATGGTGCTTTACGTGTAGTTAGTGGTCTCCTGAACTCGTATATGAAATTTCAACAAGATTGGACAAAAAATAACTGAGTTATGGGCCAAAAACCATATGCCCATATTTGGGCATACGCACCAAATTTGGTAGATTTCGTCCCATAAATTGATCAAATATCAATATGTTTGGATGAGACTAACTTTATATGAAAGGTAGGCATAAACTACATATTCTCCGTAAGTTATAGCTTTATATCTGTTTAAATGTGGATACCAAAGCGAAAAGGCAGTATCGAGATAGCCCGACCACTGGTCCGCGGACCACTGTCCGCGGACCACCGTCTGCGGACCACTGTCCGCGGACCACTGTCTACCAGATCATATTACTGTATAATAACAGTATTGAGTATCCCCTGAATCAAGCAGGGTTCACATCATCGCACGCGAATTCCAATCAGCGGTGGTGTCAAGGCTTATTAAACGATTAAGCAACCTTACGAGATCAGTTCACATCATGCAATATAATACAAAGAATAACTATTATCAGACTGCATCAATCATTTCTATCATCAACTCCTTCTTGAACAACTACAACTATGGTCTCAGAGAAAACGAAACGGATGAACTCAGCCCTACCCTGCGACCCTATCTGCAAACCTATCTCACCTCTCGACAAGTGGACTCAAGCTGGTAAAACCCTCATCGTCTCCAGAGCCAACCCAAGCTTCTGCGTTTTCTGCAACAAGAGGCATGCTGGTATATCATGCGCTGCTCATGACCGTAATCAATAGTTTGATCCAGTAATTTACTACGCTACAATTAATTATGCTAGTCGTAACTAATTGCATCCAAGATACCATACATACCATTCATATGATCTGGTAACCAATCAACTATTCACAAACACCTGTTGCTTGATTCAGGGGATACTGTTATTATACAGTAATATGATCTGGTAGACAGTGGTCCGCAGACAGTGGTCCGCAGACAGTGGTCCGCGGACCGTGGTCGGGCTATCTCGATACTGCCAGCGAAAATACCCCAAAAAATGAACAAAATTGCCCGTATCTTCGTTCGCGATATTCATTAATTTGGAAATAACTCAATCAGTTTTCAAAATTTTTGCATGAAATTTTCGGAATCGACTCTAAATCGCATTTCCACCTTATTCTAGAAGCCGATTTTTAATTTAGGCCTCCAAAAAAATTTGGCGGCCGAATTCTAAATTTTGCCATGCAAATTTTGGAATTTGGCCGCCAAATTTTTTTGGAGGCCTAAATCAAAAATCAGCTTCATAGAATAAGGTGGAAATGCGATTTAGAGTCGATTCCGAAAATTTCATGCAAAAATTTTGAAAACTGATTGAGTTATTTCTAAATTAATGAAATCAACTTCGTGAATATCGCGAACGAAGATACGGGCAATTTTGTTCATTTTTTGGGGTATTTTCGCCTTAGTTTCCACATTGAAACAGATATAAAGCTATAACTTACAGAGAATATGTAGTTTAGGCCTTTCTTTCATATAAAGTTAGTCTCATCCAAAAATATTGATAATTAATCAATTTATGGGACGAAATCTACCAAATTTGGTGCGTATGCCCAAATATGGGCATATGGTTTTCGGCCCATAACTCAGTTATTTTTTGTCTAATCTTGATAAAATTTCATATACGAGTTCAGGAGACCATTAGCTACACGTAAAACACCATAAACCTGGGTTTTGGGCATGTTCAGGGTATTTGGCTAAATTGGGCCTAATTTGGACCAAATATGGGCGTGGCTGCCCCGCGGGCACTGTTTGGTGGTTGGGGTCCGGGACCCCCTCAAAAGTTTGGTCACTGGTCGTAGTTTGTTGGTCAACTACTATCTCGAAATCAAGTTTCACAAAAAAATACCCATTGGGATAGTTAGTATTACAAACTATCCCACATCCACAAAGTTTTTAATTTCCTCCGAGTTCAGTAAATTAATTCGTTTAATTTGTTTATTTTGTAAATAAAGGACGATGATGATCAACCGTTCGGGTGTAAAATGAAAAATTGTCATTAATGCTTGATAAACATTAAGCATTCGTGTCGAAAATTAGTAAACCGATTTTTGACGAAGGGAAGTTAAAAGTAATTTTATTCAGTTTATAAATTTAAAAGAAAAAATGTAAAACGATCAATTCTTACAATGAACAAGATACATTAAGGACAGTTTTCATTCTTAAAGTTAAACACTGAAGCCGAAGTGGTAACTTTCTAACTATCAGACGAATTATACATTTGCTCTGCGAAAGTTTGACAGTGGCAGCCATTAATCAAATCATATTTCTTACCGGAACATTCAAGTTTTGTGATTTTTTCATTCAACTCTGTCAGCGTTAAGAACCGTGTCATTTGTTCCCAATCATTGGGATGAGAAGGGCTTACCAAAAGTGTATCTCTGAGAACAAATCTCTTTCCATTTGTAAGTGGTTTTTCAACCCAGACATCTTTTTCAACCCAGACATCTTGGTTGCTTCCAGGTTGGATAATATGCTTAGCTGCCTCCTTCTTGTCTGTGGTAATGTGTGCTTTTAACCGCTTACTTGCAGTCCACTGCCAAGGATTAAATGAACGCCACTGTCGTAGTAAACTATAGTTGTTCACATTCGCATCATCTGAGGGGACAAATTCGCCTGGATTGAAATGTGCAATGAAATAATATTCCTTCTTTTCAATCTCGTCGGTTGTTTTTGCAGTGCCATAAACAATGTAAGCCCAGTGATTTGGCAAATGCAATAAGGACGCTGCCACAATATTCAAAAGCCTTGCCCAAATTGCTTTTTGGTTGAACTCAATATGGATCAAGTATCTCAATGTCTTTGATTCTAAAAGTAAATCAACCGGATAGGCCTTAGAAACATCAGCTGTTGTTGGCCCGGACGGTTGGAAGCGTTCTCGTGGGGCTGCACGCTCTTGTTTTCTACTGGGAAACAGTCCCATCTGCAAGGAGAACTACGTTATGTCTGAAAAGTAAGGAACTGAAGATAAATTGCACCCTCTCAATATATCTACATTATATTTTAAACTTGATAAAATCCCCCGGCCCCCACCCCCCGGCAACGGGGACATAGAAAAACACTGAAAGTCGACTAAAAACTGACCCTCTGCAGCGTGACCAATTTAAGCTCGCAAATGGAGTTGAAACCTCGCGATTTTTAGCAGGGTTGTAAACAAAAAGGATAGGAATAGGAGATAGCATTCTTAGAATTTTGGTTAAGGCTTTAGATTTTCTATAATTAACGTCGGAAGTGAGGTAAAATAAATGTTAGAATAATGCAGACAACTGTTGGACTTTCAATTATTCATCTTCCACCGGTAGTCCCTACAAGTGCCTCAGGTTACATATGATAGTGCCGCAAGTGCCACATGTTAGTACCGCGAGTGCTGCATGCAAGTGCCGCAAGTGCCACAGTGCCGCAATTACGTAATAAGGTCGCCTCAATATATGGGAAAACCGCAGCCTCAAGTCTTATACAAAGATCGGAATTTATAATGCAGTAGTTTTGACAATATTGATATATGGTATGATAGTATTTTGGAACGCAACCTCTCTGGCACCACAGAATTAAACGGAATTAAACGGAATTAAACGTAAAGTTGTCGGAGATGGCACTAACACCATCGTCTCGACTATACATGAATGAATAACATATCTAGAGTAAGTAAAATTCGAATTTCAAGAATCATGAAAATTTAAAACAAAATCACTTAAAATTTAACTCCCGTACAAACAACCGAAATAGAAATAATTGCTGAAATAATAATTTAACATAGGAGGAAGTAGTAAAAGGCAACTTCAATGATCACTAAACTGCGATATTAGTATTCGAGTCCACAAAAGACACATTCATACTCAAACAGTCCTCCCACTCACAGTCACAACGTACTGGAAACAGTAATCACTAGTGTTCCATGCTCGTACAACAGATCGTGAAATCTGATCAGGTGGGCTCCCTGCACTGGCTCCCATCTAATGAGTAATCAGTAATGGTAACTTAAATCACCTGGATCAAATTACAACTTGGGGTGAGCACCGGTTCATAATGCATATTATAGGCAACCGGAGTAGTCCGGAACCCCTTCAAAAGTTCAGTCACGGGCCCTAGTTTTTGGTCAACTGCCATCTCGAAATCAAGTTTCACTAAAGATCAGGGTGAACCTTTCTATCCTCAAAATCAAATATTCATATTACACAATAATATGCCAAATGGAATCATTACATATTATTATAAGGTAGATAAGAATCGCCTGGGAAGACAATTAAGAAAAGGTTATGCTGCAACATGTAGGTCGTAGGACCGTGTAAGATGTAAATGGACTAAGATAATATGCATATGATTAGTCACGTGGGACTCATGGTTTTTCACTGTTGGATAAAGCAAGCGGGTGAAGTTGAATGTAACTATTCTGGTATAAAGTATTGAAGCATTGTGCTTTTGGTGTCGGTTATATGCCACTGGAGGAAACTGTGGC